TTTTGCCACTTGCTTGAGCAACTTAATATATAAATCTAGAATTACATGCAAAAGTAAAAAGCATTGAATGATGTGTTCCTTACATTTATTGTGTTTAAACATGTCTGTGAAATATTGTATTACTGTACTGTGTAAAAAAAAAGAATTGCAATGCTGAAAAAGCATTTTCAGTGACAATGTTTGGATTTGAAATCAAAATAATGGAATGATTATAATGTTGGAATAAATGTTGTGTTTGTGGTAAACAGCCACGGATCAGTAGCGGACTCCTGTGTGAAAGCTGCTTCCCCTCTCACAAGAGTCACCTAAGAGGGGAATTTCCCCCATTTTCAAAAATGAAATTCAGGCCCTGAATAAATGTCTAAAAATCCTGATTGAAGTATCACTATAAATAGTTATAAATTATAAAAAGAAGGCTTTAAAAGATCGGTATCGGCAGATACTGCTTTCTGTGATCGGCCTCAAAAATCATGATCGGAGCACCCCTAGTAAACACTGCTTTTATTGCTGAATATAAATAAAAATTATTAACATCTTTCATCCTTAGTTATTTTATATAGGACAAGAAATCTCTTATGCTTACCAAGGCTGCGTTTATTTGATAAAAACATTTTAATACATTTTAAAATGTATTTTATTCTGTGAAACCCTGACACATTTTTTAGGATTCCTTGATTAATATACTCTTCAAAACATCAGCACTTATTGGAAACATTACTGTTTTTTAACATTATAAATGCATTTACTGTCACTTTTTATTAAGCATTCTTGCTGAATAAAAATAATTATTTCAAAAAGAAAATCTTACTGACTTCAAACGTTTGAACGATAACATATACGATAGGGGTGTGCGATATATATCGTCTGCGATAATATCGTAATTGTTGTTTTAACGATGTGCGATTTGACATTATCGAGTATTTTGCAAAAACCATTCAAAACATCCCTACAGAGCGCACACATACATTACGTGGAGTCTAGACTAGTGCGTGTGCATTTAGAGTGCGTTCTTTCACTGCACGATTCAGTCTATTAAAATGCATTTAGAATGATCACAAATTCAAGACATGATGGCAGAAAATTTATATATTTATACCACTTCATATAGTTATTCAATTTCACACGAAGAGTGCCGTTTTTCTCCAAAAAATACCATGATTACAAATGTGACATTGATTGACATTGACATAGTTTTTTTTTCATGTTTTAAATCATTTCAAATATCAGTATTCAACGTTTTATGTTTAATATATCAAAACATTATTTATGCATTTGTAATTGCAGGTTAAATGCATTCATGTCTTGCATTAAACAAAATACATGTGTGTAAATACATCTAAATGCCACTTCAGATGCAGCTTCTGTGTTGATTTCATTTGCTTGGTAACAGCCCAAATGTCTTATTATTCTAATTCCCTGATTAAATGTAAGAATTTGACTCAAAAGATAATGGACACTTCTAGAAAAAATGGCTTTATAAAGGTAAAAATGATATCGAGATATTATTTTTTGTCAATATCGCACACCCCTAATATACGATATACTATATTATCTCAAGGATACTATTGCTCAGCCCTTGTAAGCACCTATTAGCACAAGCATCTTGATGAATTACTGACTGTGATATAAATATACACTAGCAATACTCTCATTTTCAGAGCTAATATATATATAATATAACTCTCTCTCAGGCAGTAGGTCAGCAGACTGAACCATATCTTAAGGTGACTGATTATTAATTTCCTCACGCAATTTGTTTATACTCCTATCACATCGTGGATAAGGAGAGCTTGAATGGGGTTTATCTGTGTACCACAGCATGACATCACTATAGTAATACTCCATCTGTTATGGTGACGCCAGGGCAATAGACAGAAAGGAAAATCACACGAGGGAACAGATCATGTGCAATCTGACTATAGCTGACTTCAGCTCTGATCATTTCAGGATGTACCATTAACTGTACACTGTGATTGTGAAAATGCAAATTCAACCATGAAGAACAGATGATATTTCCATCACAAGACATCACATACAGTACTTTATAACCTTTCATAAAATTACCCTTTTTCAGAGCTTTATAATTTGTGATAGAGAAAAAAATGAAACAACATAATGTGACATAATATGTTTTTCTTATTCAGATATAATTATTTTACGGAGTGTCTATTTACACTAACCTAATTGGCAGAGGCTATTTACACTAAAAAGGCATTTATTTTCAATAAAAATGAAGTAAATAATCAAAAAGTTGAAAATAAAGTATCGGGTAGGGTATCTGAATTAAGTAGTATAAATAGCAGAAAATCCTGCTATTTTAACAGTGTAAATAGCATCCATCACTATTAGTATTTGCACTTAGTGTAAATAGCATCTATCGCTAAGAAAATATGCTATTTTCACTTAGTGTAAATAGTAGAGCCCGACCGATATGGTTTTTTTGGGGCCGATACCGATAATAGGGAATAAAAAAAAAGGCCGATACCGATATATCGGCCGATAATCTTTGTGCATATTATAGTACAGTACCAGTGAAAAGTTTGGACACTTCCCCATTCGTGTGTCCAAACATTTGACTGGTACTATATATAGAATACAGTATATACATAAACAGAATATATATACGTAAACACATTTTTTGCAATGATCACTCAAATTTGGTGATCAAACAATTATAATGGTGACAGAGATATGTAAGGGCATTTAAGAATTTAACATTAAAAGTAAATAGCATCTATTGCTATTTGCACTTAATGTAAATAGCCTCTATCACTATTTACACTTAGTGCAAATAGCCGCTGCCATTATTTTATCCAAATCAATGTTTCATTTTGAGTTTAAGTGCAATTTCAACCAATTGTTTTTTAATTGCCAAAAACAGACGTTTTATCCTCTAGTGTGAAATCACAAAAAAAAGAATCATCAAAATAATTCTGATATTTTAATATCTTCATCAATAATTGAGCAAAAAGCCAAAAAAACATTGAAATTCATTAAAAGCAGTTATGCTAGTTAGTTACAATAATTGTATACAGCTACTGGACACTAACAAACGACTAAAGGCATTGTGGCTTATGGTAAGTACCTCACCATAAGGTAATGCCAGATGTAGAGGCTACAAAGTCATGTCCAAAAGGTGCTTATGATGATCCTACGATGAGTCACAATAAGAGACATCTGGACCGACACACATGAACACCAGGTGGAATATCACACACACACACACACACACACTGACTGTAGTGAGTTTCAGGATCCTCAATGAGATTTGAAAACATCTATGATTGGTCTGTTTTCTCTGATATAGACAACAACCAAACAGGATTATGACTGTCAAAATTCAGAAATTAATTTGACATCACGTCCCTCTTGACAGCCATCTCCTAACAACCTCTCCTTCTACAGCAGCTGATTAATGGTCAGCCAATAAGACCTTCATTTCCTCCAGTGCCTGCCTTCAGACTGATAACAACAAGCGAAAGAGGATGTGAGGGGGGCAGAGGATAAATATAATGCTTTATTTATTGGCCATTTGAGGAGTTGTTGTGGCTTACAGTGGAGGCGTGCTGTTGTTCCACTGACTCTGCATTCTGAGCAAGAGAGTTATCGCTGCTGCTGACTTCTCTGCTGACGGCTTTACATCCGCATGCTAAAAAAATTACCGCCACTGCCTGACAACTTGTGCTTCTGAAACAATAAAACTTAGCATAAAGAAAAAGGCTTTAAGAAAGTTTGCACAAATGCAAAAAAAAACATTCACATTCAAATGCCAAGAGGAAAATTTATGAAAAAGAGAAAAAAGAAAATGTTCACTCAGAAATTGCTAGTAAATTTAGTATTAAATTTAAATTTAGTAAATTTAGTAATTTAGTAAAAATAATAATCATTACGTAACACAATGAATTAAACATGAAATAATAAATATGTACAGTTTCTTGCACAGACTATCATTTTGGTTCATAAGACCTTAATATATCCTCAGGAGCCATGGGTATTCATTTTGTATTGCTTGTATATGCTTTTTTTGACTCTCAAGTGCCAGTAGCCGCTGACCTGCATTTTACGAATCACCAAGGACCAGTTTCAGCTAAAAATCTGTTCTACTGAAGAAAGAAAGTCACCTACATCTTGGATGCCCTGAGGGTGAGTAAATTAGGGCCCTATGATTTCCACGATGCAGA